GAATTGTACTGAACTCTCCAACTATAATTAAGGATTTATCTATTCCTCTTGCAGTACTATCACATTTCACATATTTTGAAGGTCTGTCATTGGTTGTATAAATGGAATTTTTATGTTCACTATATGAATTTACCCCTTTATTATGATGAAACATTCTTTAATCCTAGAAATATTCTTCGCTCTGCAGTATACTTTGTCAGATATTAATATAGCCACTTTGTTCTGATGAGTCTTTTGCCATTCCTTTACTTTTAACTTATTTGTGTCGATCGACAGATAGACAGATAGACAGACAGACATTTTTTTCTGAGATGGAGTTTCACTCATCACCCAGGCTGGAGTACAATGGGGTGATCTTGTCTCACTGCAACCTCCATCTCCCGGGTTCAAGCGATTCTCCCGCCTCAGCCTCCCGAGTAGCTGGGATTCCAGGTGCCCGCCACCATGCCCAGCTAATATTTTGTATTTTTAGTAGAGACGGGGTTTCACCATGTTAGCCAGGCTGGTCTTGAACTCTTGATCTCAGGTGATCCACCAGCCTCGGCCTCCCAAAGTGCTGGGATTACAGGCGTGAGCCATAGCGCCTGGCCTTGTGTCTTTATATTTTAAATGTGTGTCTTGTAAGTAGCATAATGCAGATGTTCCCTGACTTAATTTGGTTCAATTTACAATTTTTCAATTTCACAATGATGCAAAACCATCTCAACTTTGATGTAATGTACAATATTCAATAAGTTACATGAGCTATCCAGCACTTTATTATAAAGCAGACTTTGTATGAGATTTTGCCCAATGGTATGCTAATGTAAGGGTTCTGAGCACATTTAAGGTGGGCTTAGGCGAAGCCATGATGTTCAGGGGCTCAGGTATATTAAACATATTTTGGCTTATGATATTTTTAACTTACAATAAGTTTATCTGGATGTAATCCCAAAGTCAGTTGAGGAGCATCTATAGTTGGATGGGGCTTGTTTGATCTGACAATCCCTGCTGTTTAATTGGGATATTTAAACTATTTATATGTTATGTAATTATTAAATATAGTTAGGTTTATCTCTTGCAATTTGTTTTATATTTGTTCCATCATTTCTTTGCTTCCTTTTGCCTTTTTTCTACATTTCATTCCATTAAATAAATACTATTTATGATTCCACTTATATTCTTTGTTGGCATTAGCTGTTACTCTTTGTTTTTCCTTTTAGTGGTTGCTTTAGAGTTTATCATATACGTTTTTAACTTTCACGGACTACCTTCAAATTACATTATACTAGTTTATATATACTATAAAATATCTTACATTCATATACTTTTTTTTTTTTTAAAGACAGAGTCTCACTCTTTCGCCCAGGCTGGAGTACGGTGGCGCAATCTTGGCTCACTGCAACCTCCGCCTCCTGGGTTCAAGCAATTCTCCTGCCTCAGCCTCCCAAGTAGGTGAGACTACAGGCGCGTGCCACCACGACCAGCTAGTTTTTTTTTTGTTTTTTTGTTTTTTTTTTTTTTTTTTTATTTCTAGTAGAGACGGGGTTTCACCGTATTAGCCAGGATGGTCTCGATCTCCAGACCTCATGATCCATCTGCCTCAGCCTCCCAAAGTGCTGCGATTACAGGCGTGAGCCACCGCACCTGACACATTAATATACTTTAATTTCTCCCCTTCCAGGCTTTATTTTATTGTTGTCATCAATTCTACTTACATGTTACATTATTGTTTTGTTTAAACAATTACTTCAAAGTGGTTTAATTTTTTAAATTACGTGAATTTACCCATGTAGTTACCCTTTTTAGTATTCTTCATGACTTTGTGAAGATCCATGTTTCCATGTGGTATCACTTTCCTTCTGCCTTACAGACTTCCTTTAGTATGTCTTACATGTGGGTCTGCTGCTGATGAATTCCTTTTAGCTTTTCTATATGAGAAAAAGTCTGTTTTGTACATAAGAAAAAGAGATTTTCACTGGGTGTAGTATTCTGAGATCACAGGTGTTTTCCTTCCATATTTAAAGGTATTGCTCCGTTGCCTTCACACGTGCATTATCTCTAAAGAGAAATATATTGTCATCTTTGTTTCCTTGCCTGTAACATGTCTTTTTCTTTAGAAACTTAAGATTTTCTCTTCATCATTGTTTTCAAATAATTTTATTATGATGTGCCTTACTGTAGGATTCTTCATGTTTCCTGTGCTCTGGCTTCATTGAACTTCTGGATTCTGTCGGTTTATACCATTCATAAAATTTGGAATTTAGGACCATTTTTCAGGTGTCTTTTTCCATTCCCCTCTCTCCTCCAGAGATGAGAATTGCATGTTAGGCCACTTGAAGTTTTCCCATAGCTCACTAATGCTTTTCAGCCCTTGTTATTATCTTTTTACTCCGTTTCATTTTGAATCTATGTCTTCAAGTTCATTCATCTTTCCTTATGTAATACCTAATGTGCCACTAATCCCAACAAGTGTATTTCTATCTCAGACATTGTAATGTTCACGTCTAGATGTTTAATGTGGGGCTTTTTTAGTATCTTTAATGTTGCTACTTGATGAATATCTGTAACACCGTTGTAGTAACAGTTTTAATGTCCTAGTCTGCTGATTCTAACACCCTTGTCTGTTCTACGTTAGTTTCAAATGGTTTATACCATGCCTGTCATGGGTTATATTTTCTTGCTTCTTTACATGCCTGATAATCATTGATTGGTTGCCAGACATTGCAAGTTTTACCCTGTGTGTTGCCGAATATTTTTGTATCACTCTAAATATTCCTTGAGGTTTGTTCTGGGATGCAGTTGAAATATTTAGAAACAGTTTGGTCCTCTGGGGTCTTAGTTTCAAGATTTCTTAGGTGGAAGCAGAGCAGTGTTCACTTTGTAGTTAATTACCCCTCACGACTGAGGCAAGACCCTGGTGAGTGCTCTACCCAGTGCTCCATAAGTTAAGAGGTTCTACTGGGAGGCGGAGCTTGCAGCGAGTGGAGATCGCGCCACTGCACTCCAGCCTGGTGACAGAGGGAGACTCTGTCTCAAAAAAAATAAAAATAAATAAAATAAAAATACAAAAATTAAGAGGTTTCAGACTGCCTGGCAGAATAGACATCATCACTATTCCCGTCGTGTGCGTCAAGCACTCGCCCCTCTCATCTTTCTGGGTTGTTCTCCCCGGGTCTCCTGTCGTCTCCTCGCACGAATGCACTGATCTGAACACTCTGCTGAATACTCCAAAGGGACTCGCTGAGGATCTCTGCGGTTCAGCTGTGTCCCCTCTGGACTCTCGCTGCCCTGGTCTCCCCAGACTTTCAGCTTCATCCTCTCAACTCAGGGTGTCTCATGGGCTCTGCGGGGGTCGTCCCTCGCTGCACCGCGCTCTGGAGGCTCTCCGGAGGTGGGGAGCTGGAGCAGTCACAGAGCTCACCGCATCTGTCTCCCGTCTCACGGGGATCACTGGCGCTTTGTGCCTGGTGTCCAGGGACTTCGTGACCATTGTTCCCTGTGTTTTGTCTGGTTTTGGTTTATTTTTGTTTGTTCTGTTTGACTTTCCCAAGCAAGAGAGTAAATCCCGGCCCTGTTACTCCATGTTGGCCAGAAGCAGAAGCTGCACTGTCTTTTGTATTCATCTGTATCCACAAACCAACGCTCTAGGATGCTATTTGCACCAAAATATTAAAAGGGTTTACCTCTGGTTTGTGGAATTATGAATTTTTATTGTGTGTGCATGTCTGTGAGACTTTTGTTTTCTACAAAAAATGTATTACTTTTTTATGGAATGAAACTAATAACACAATTGTTTTCTAAAAACAGTTCTATTCCATCAGCATGAGCTCCACCCTGGATAGCAGGTGCCCCTAGGATAAACCGCAGGCTCTGTTACCACCTGATACACTCCAGGGTGGCATGATCGTGGCTGCACCCCTCAGCTCACAGGGCAAAGCTGGTGAAGTGTTGCCAAGCAGTTTCCCGGGGCAGCAAGGGAGTGTGGAGCCGCACCCAGAACCTCCAGAGCGCGCTGCTTCCACGAGGCAGCCACTGACACGCTGGAGCCACTGACACGCTGGAGCCACTGACACGCTGCAGCCACTGACACGCTGGAGCCACTGACACGCTGCAGCCACTGACACGCTGCAGCCACTGACACGCTGGAGCCACTGACACGCTGGAGCCACTGACACGCTGCAGCCACTGACACGCTGCAGCCACTGACACGCTGCAGCCACTGACACGCTGCAGCCACTGACACGCTGGAGCCGCAGGTTCTCAAAGGTTTAAATATTTTTATGGAACACAGTGTTCAAATACAAACACACTGACACCCTTCGGGCGCGCACACACACACACACACACACACACGTCATCTACAAGAAATAACACAATGTAGAAGCATTTTCACTGATACCTCAGAGAAGGGAGACTGAGAAAATTCCAATGGTCAAAGAGTAGAGAATAAAAATTAATGATATAGTTCAATTTTCACCTTGAAGATATGTAAAATACCTTGCACTTTCTAACACTTTGTCTTTATTACAGTATATAAAGAAATTATACCCTAATATTTATAGGGGGCTTTCAAAGAATTTATTTCTAAAGACATTCATTTCTGACCCTTAAAAAATAAATTTTAAGTCCTTTATCAGTAAATTAATCCACCACAGTTAAGAAGGGAATCCCGTATCTCTAGTGAGAGGGGACAGGTCATTTTGTTTATAATGTAAGTTGGAAGAAACTCAGTTCCTATTAATAAAATTAATATAACATACCATGACTAACTATATCATGCTATCCAGTCATTTCTTTAAAAACTGACCAGAATGAGTATGAAGTCAATTCAAGCCAGTTAACTCTAGGATTGAAGGACCAGTCACCGAACATCCCACTCTTGAGATGCCCAGTAGCACTTACTATGAAGAGGTGGCGTGATGATCTTCATTTCTAACAAAGGCGTCCACGTGGGGTAGAGCGCTAAGTAAGTGGAGGTATGCGTTTGTTGGAAGCAACCCTAGCATGCTGGTACGTACCATCTTCCTCAGCTCCTGGTTGGAAACAATAATGACATTTGGAGGGTCCCCGATGGCAGTGGCAGCTCCTCCAATGTTTGTGAAGATCACTTCTGCGATCAGGACTTGTCTGGGATCGAGGTTGAGCACCTCACACAACCTGTCACAAATGGAGGAAATGAAAGTAGTCCCACTGTGCACATTGTGAAAGGCTCACGTGCAACCCAGAGATTTTTAAGGCACTTGTTCGTACAAGGGAGGTGCGCGCGCACACACACACACACACACACACACCTGTGGGGAGGGAGCGCTGGGGGGAATGAACAATGCAACAACCCCTGCAGGCCACAGCTCACTCCAAGAGCTACATTCCTTCCCAAGTGAGCCTCCAGTCACCAAACCCTCAGTGTGATCAGGTGCCCTTTCCCCAGCGCTCCCAGCTGGTGCTGTGGGGGTTGGTGTGGAGGAGAGCGGATGGTCACACAGGGCCTGCTGACTCAGCCCCTTTCCCACCTCCCGCTTCCTGGACACCAAGGCCCTAGGTTCTCTCCTCGTCCCCTCCTTTGTTTCATTCATCTATGCATTTTCTATTTATTTACTTTTTATTGCTATAATACATACTAGATATACACATACACACGTACATTTTCAGGGTACGTATGATAATGTAGTAATTCACATAATCAAACCAGGTAACGGGATACCCATCTCCTTAACTATCAATCTGTTCTTTACCCTGGGAGCATTCCAGTTATTCTCTTCTAGCTGTGTTGGAGTACAATCGATTCGCGTCAACTGTATTCACCCCACAGACCTGTCAGGCACACTCTACAGCTGTGGAGCTCCACCGTGGCCTCACGAGATTTGTGCTAGAATCTGGGGAGTCCTATGGCTTGGCCGGCGCAGACCAGTGCCTGGGAGTGGGCCCGGGCAGTGGCGCTCTATAGCTCCCCAGGGACCCAGCATGTACACAGCTGGGAAACATTGCCATAAAGAAAGTGCAGAAGGCACATCACAGCGTCCCCCACACCTGCTCATCCGCACAGCCCACTCCACACAGGACCCGGCCTCGGGTCTCACTCAGAGGCCACCCACCACCTCCTGGCCATCAGCTCAGAGTGAGGCCGGCCACACAGCCTCCCTCTGCTGGCATGAGGAGCACAGGCCCATGGAACCATGTGGGAGCTGAGGAAGGAGCGTGCCTGGGGACTGAAGCAGGAGTGGCTCCACAGATGAGACTCTGCCCCGAGCAGCAGCGGCACAGTGCTAAGGAAGCTCCCAGGATCTGCTTCTAGCAAGAAAATATGTGTGTGTAGCAGTCAACAGTGCCAGACCAGGCAGGGCGGTGCACCCATCTCAATGGGACTAGCTGTTAACTAGAAGGACCAAAGCCACTTAGCCCAGACAAAGGGGAAGAATGTGGCCAGCACTTACAAAGCCATAAAGAATATGGTCAGATAAATAGGGAATCTTAGAACACCAGCACCGGAATCTTGAAAGATGCAAATTTTTGACTAATAAATGGAATTACTGCTCTAACAACATGACAAAAGCAGTTCCGAGTAGTGAGGATATGAACAAATTGTGGCAAGGCTGAGATACCTCTCAGCTGCCCGGGCTATACGGGGATGCTGGGAACAAAGTGCCCAGCGCACCCCAGCCCTGGAACTCTGCTCTCACCAGGCTGCCATGGGGGAGCGTGAGGATATGCGGAGGTCTTCAAGCCAGGGCAGCAGCAGAGTCATGCTGGTTAGAGGGGGCAGATGGGCCTGACTCTTGTCCCCCGACACGTCCAGAAGGCACAGTTTGGTGCCATCACTAGTGCATGTGACAGTGTACAGCAGCCTTCAAACATGTTCACGCCTCCCTCATTGACTCTCCACCTGGGCACTGAGAGGGGCGGTACCATACCCTGCGAGGAGGCTGAGAGCCCAGGGTCCCTCCCATGCCACACAGGGCGTGACAGTGTAGCCCGGCTTGCAGGAGCCTGGGTACAAACCTGAGTCTCCACACGGAGGCAGCAGATGGCCTGGGGATGCTGCATCTACCTCCCCAGCAGCGCTGGCCACTCCGTGCTCCTCCCCACCCCACTCCTCCTCTAAGAGCCACCACTGTTCTAACACAAAAGGCATCCCAGATTAACCTGGAGCCCTGGAAGCAGTACCACGGGGCCTTGGAACCTGCTGTGTGTCCCATGCCTTGTGTCCAGGCAGGCCCTGTGTCTCACAGAGCCCTCAGAATGCCAGCTCAGGTTAATCTCTTTGCCGTTATGACCCAGATCAGTACACCTGAAGTGACTTGTTCAAGACACCCTATTACAAGCAGGACCGGAGGGTGACTCCCTGAGGGGCCCTCTCTCGCCTTCTCGCCCCGTGTCCTCAGGGCCAGCCCCAAGGCTGACATGCTGGGGAGTCATATTTAAAATAGAGAGCATACATATGGAAACACACAGGTCCGTGGCCTTCAGAAGGGGCCCACACGAGGACCGGGACCACAGCTCATGCTTCAGAAGATCTGGGGTAAACAGGCCTATGGCCCCCAATAAATAATAGATGATTAAAGTGGATGGAATTAAAAGAAACAGAATTGAATTGAGTGGAATTGAATGGGGTGGGGTGGCGTGGGTGGGGTGGCGTGGCGTGGCGTGGAGTGGAACTGAACTGAACTGAACTGAACTTCTCTTTCCCAGAGTTGCCCTATAAAGCTTTGCCAGACTGAACTTTGGTTCTGCTGAGCCCCATTGGTCCTGCAACCCTCCAAGCCTCTGATGAGGAACCTTGCGGTGGCTGTTCCACCTCCCCCCAGCTACATGACCCTGTGAGCCCTCGGCATGGTGTGACCTGCCAACCCAGCCCAGGTGGCAGATGGTGATGGAGAAGAACAGGGACAAGGACTTCTGGTACCTGGGCACCTGGTGGTCGGGGTGAGCTGTTTTTTGGTTTTTTTGTGAGACGGAGTCTCGCTCTGTTGCCCAGGTTGGAGTGCAGTGGCACAATCTTGGCTCACTGCAACCTATGCCTCCGGGTTCAAGGGATTATCCTGCCTCAGCCTCCCGAGTAGCTGGGATTACAGGCGCATGCCGCCACACTCAGCTAATTTTTGTATTCTTAGTAGAGACGGGGTTTCACCAGGGCTGAGCCATTCTTGTCCACGTGTTCCCCATGAGACTACAATCTCCAGGAAAGCACAGCCTCTATCTTCCACCTCCCGCAGACATTTCTGCCACCAGCTTCTGAGGCCCCACTGCTTGTAGCATGTACTGCAGTCAACAAAGCAGACACGAGCTGGACTGGAATGCACTGAGCTGTGGGCTCAACGCCACCTTTTCATGCACCTGAGAATGGAGCCTGGAGCCAGGCCATGCAGCCAGAGCCCATGCCTGCCAGAGCCTGGCCACAACCCCCACGGCAGAGGCGCTTTGCATACCTTATGGTCACAGGCCGTGAAGAGGAGCATGGTGGTGACGTGTCCAAGAAGGCAGAGAGGACGGCCGCGATGAGACACAGCATGATGATCATGGCCCACACCCGTCCCCGGGAGAGCCGGTATGCCTGGCCGACACGCAGAGTACAAGCCAGTCAGCAGGCTCATAGAACAGAGGCAGCCTTTCATTAGTGACTTTAGGAACAGGGAGCCAAACTAACATTGCCCCATGGGTTAAGATGTAGATCCACGGGAGTCCCGGGGGGCCGAGAGGAGAGAGTGCTGGCCACCAAAGTTCCTAGACATTCTACACCCTCCCTAGCCAGCACTGTCACCCCTCTGATCCTCCTCCTTCACACAGCCCCTGTCATGGTTAATTTGTCACAGGGTGATGACCCTCAGTCCCCGTAATGCCATCGGTATTCTGGTTAGACAACCTGGGCTTTGACATTTGGGATCCACGTGAGCCTAGTGTCTGCTGATCTCTAGGGAACTAAGGGATACTTTAATAGTAAGGAGTAATAGACCAAATATCTACTGGCATGTACAAGATGGGGCACAAGATGACAAAATCACAGCATGGTTCTATCATTCAAAGTTTGCAAAGGGCTTTGTTGAGTAATTTTTTTTTTTTTTTTTTTTTGAGACAGAGTCTCACTCTGCCACCCAGGCTGGAGTTCAGTGGTGTGATCTTGGCTCACTGCAGCCTCCACGCCTGGGGTTCAAGCAATTCTCTCGCCTCAGCTTCCCGAGTAGCTGGGACCACAGGTGCATGCACCACGCAGCTAATTTGTTTATTTTTAGTAGAGACGAGGTTTCACCATGTTCACCAGGATGGTCTCAATCTCTTGACCTCGTGATCCACCCACCTTGGCCTCCCAAAGTGCTAGGATTACAGGCGTGAGCCACTGCGCCCGGCCTGTTGAGTAACTTTTAAAAAGACCTTGGCCGGGCGCGGTGGCTCAAGCCTGTAATCCCAGCACTTTGGGAGGCCGAGACGGGCGGGTACGAGATCAGGAGATGGAGACCATCCTGGCTAACACGGTGAAACCCTGTCTCTACTAAAAAAATACAAAAAACTAGGTGGGCGACTGTAGTCTCAGCTACTCGGGAGGCTGAGGCAGCGTAGACCGGGAGGCGGAGCTTGCAGTGAGCTAAGATCCGGCCACCGCACTCCAGCCCGGGCGACAGAGCGAATCTCCGTCTCAAAAAAAAAAAAAAGACCTTTTCAGTTTCAAAAACTATACATATTCAAGCACAGCATTAGACTGCATTAGCAGGGCATGGTACACGATGAGCTCTCCTCTTGCCAACCCTGAATGACAGGTCAGGTACAAATCCTGGAGGCTAGAGCTGGCTGATGAAGCTCCCCAGGGTTCCAGTTAAAAACATAAATGTGTATATATTCAATATTTAGGAAGTAATCATGGAAATTATTTCACCAAAAGCAAAGTAATCAGAAGCTAATGGCTTGAAATATTGGGATACTCTAATATGGCAAACAATGTTTGATGTGTAGCTCTCCCAGACAATTTAAATAATACACAAACATTCAACCTAATACCCTTTTCTTGACCTCCTTCTTCATTTATTTACTGAGCAGCTGAAAGTGCCACTCAGAGCCATACAACTTAACACAGTCAGCATAACCTGCCCTGCAGAAGTAACCTTTAAAAGGAGGATGGAATTTTTAATGTTTGTTTCCTAAATATATAATGTCAGAAAAATACAGATATAAATTAATCAGTATGGAATTATTAAATGCAACATCATACCTACCTTTACAGCACAGTAATCGAAAAATCCCGTTTCTGAAATATGGCTACTAAGATCATCTATGGGGAAAAGAGAAGAAGACAAGGATAACCTTTTAGCAGGACACCATATTAAAACGACATCAGCATGATCCATTACACATTTGAGCTGTGGCCTCTGAAAGCCACCACATTGCCAGGCTCCCCACTCTGAGATGCAGAAACACCGTCGCTTCCTGGAATAGTACACTCACTTCCTGGCACACTCACTTCCTGGTACACTCACTCCTGGCACACTCACTTCCTGGCACACTCACTTCCTGGTACACTCAGAAACACCGTCGCTTCCTGGAATAGTACACTCACTCGCTCCTCGAATGGAGCCTCTTGCTAGCGGTTTTGTGCCTACATGTGTGTCTGGGGATTTGTCCTCAAGGCACATTACCATCCCATCCGATCCTCAAAAAAAAAAAATCAGGTGTTATTCACCCTCTGTTTATAGACTAGGAAATGAGATCAGAGTGAAGGAGGCTTGCTCTCAGCCACAAAGGTAGAAGCGGGGCCGGGGGCCAGCACGTGGCCTTCTGCACCTACGTGTCCACACAAGCAACACTTAAACATTCTGCGATGCCTAAAAGTGGGTTCGATTTTGTTTTCTAAAATAATTAAACTGATTTTTGTCACCAATTTGGGAGCAGTTGTATTGAAACGATTGCTCCCTGGATTCCAGGTGAACCCAGAATGCCTGTTGCCTGTTTCTTCCAGTGAGGATGATGAGTTGGTGAAAACAGCTATCCTGGATCCTAATAAAAAGTCATGTCCAGATAGTCCGATTTTATCAACCAGACATTGCAACTACTGAATGTTCTGGAAGTTCCTCTGCTTCACTCTTAGATGGCAGTCACCATGTTTGGAACTTGGAATGAGAAGATGCAAGTTCAGATCCTGATTCCGCCACTTAAAATAGTCCGAACTTGAGGCTGGGCGCGGTGGCTCACGGGTGCAACCCAGCACTTTGGGAGGCCGAGGCGGGCAGATCACAAGGTCAGGAGATCAAGACCATCCTGGCTAACACAGTGGTGAAACCTTGTCTCTACTAAAAAAAAAAATACAAAAAGCTAGGCATGGTGGCGGGCACCTGCAGTCCCAGCTACTCGGGAGGCTGAGGCAGGAGAATGGCATGAACCCAGGAGGCGGAGCTTGTAGTGAGCGAGATCACGCCACTGCACTCCAGCCTGGGGCGACAGAGCGAGACTCTGTCTCAAAAAAAAAAAAGAAAAAAAAAGTCGAACTTGAACAAAAATATGAATTAACCTTTCTGTCCCTCAGTTTTTTTCACCTTACCTCTGAATGTTCTATACTTCATCAGGTTGTGAAAATGCAATATAATTATTCAAATTACAATACTTGGTAAACAGGAGTCCCAGTAGACACTACTGTCTCTTAAATAAACTATAGAAAACAAAATGTCCCCAGTCAATTTAGACCCAGTGTAAATATCCATCGTGTCCAGAGTGACCATCAATGTTCATCCTCACCCAAAAGGCCACTGAGAGCTGACGTTGGACATGGGGCTTCGCACACAATGGACATGCCGAGCAGACAGGCGTGTGCAGACCGTGTGGCGTTTACACATTTGCTGACAGAACCACCATGGGAGACTGGAACTCAGGATGGGGGTAAATGGCCCTGTGGGTGGTCAGCTGCCAGGAAATGGGGGAGAAAAGGCAGGGACCTGGTTGTAATGACCCTGCACCGTGCAGTTCCAGCATTGCAGAACCTGCAAGTGCTCGCGGAACTGAATTCCGACGAGAAAAAACACCAACGCCATTTTTATAGGCTGAACTGTGTCCCTCAAAATTCATATGTTCACGTCCTAGCCCCCAGTACCTGGGAACATGACATATTTGGAGTGACAGTGTTGAAGGAGGTAATTAAGTTAAATGAGGTGGTTAGGGTGAGCCCTGATTCAGTGTGGCTGGTGTCCTTACAGGAGGAGGGTCTCAGGACTCAGAAACACATGGGGAAGACAAAGTGAAAACGCAGGGGAGAAGGTGCCATCTACAAGCCAGGAAGAGAGGCTTAGGAGAAACCAACCCTGCCCACACCGTGATCTCGGACTTCCAGCCTCCAGAGCTGTGAGGAAATACATTTATATTATTTAAGCCAAATGGTCTGTGGTACTTTGTCACATAGTCCTAGCAACTAATATAGCATTCCTTTTTTAAAACAGGCATATCTCAGGGATATCTGGCACATTTCCTCTCTTCTATCCAGATGCCCAACTCTGTATACGTCTCAGGCCCGATACAATATGAGTTACTCTGTGAAGCCGGGGCTAGAACCTCGCCTGCCTCCCTGAGCACTGCCACAGAGGATGGCGGCACGGTCTCCAGTCAGGTCACATGGAAGCCTAACGTAGCTGGGCCTTCTGTTATGTTGGCCAGCCTTGGGAGGGATGAAACGTTAGCAAGGAAAATGAGGATCTATAGTGCCCAGCTGTACACAGAGCAAGTCTTCTAGCCCAGAGAGGAAGAGCCTCCTGCAGACCACTGGACTGTTTGGGGTCTGCTCAGGAACACGTGGGCTGCCCTACTGCCAGGCCCTGGCCAGGCTCCATGGTTCTCGTTAAGCTGGGTCATGACTCGTGTCCCACACTAGCCCGCTGGGGCATTTCGAGTTCCTGCAGGTGGCGCTGGTGGCATTCCTCGCAGCACAGAGTGGCCACTGGGTAATATGATCAATTAGCAAACACCCGAACTACCGCTTAGGAGTGACACTTCCTTTACTCACATCATGAAAGTACTCTCTCTTCCACTGAAACTCCTACATGGTTTGTTTATTTGGGATACTCCATTTTTTTATTTTAAGGGCAGTAACTCAAAAGAATTACTAGCTTTTCTAAATAGCAATATGATTTCATCGTCAGACATGCCTTGGGCTGGAATTCTCCCGCTAACGAACCATAGCCCCATTCCGTTCCTCCTCAGGAGAGATTCCGGAGACCCGCTGTTGCGGGAAGTCAGGGACCCGAACGGAGGGACCGGCTGAAGTCGCGGCACAAGAACATAAATTGTGACGATTTCATGGACATTTATTAGTTCCCCAAATTAATACTTTTATAATTTCTTACGCCTGTCTTTACTGTAATTTCTGAATATAAATTGTGAAGATTTCATGGACACTTATCACTTCCCCAATCAATACCCCGTGTTTTCCTACACCTGTCTTTATTTAATCTCTTAATCCCATCATCTTCTTTGTAAGCTGAGGAGGATGAGTGTCGCCTCAGGACCCTGTGATTGTATCAACTGCACAAATTGTTTGTAGAGCATGTGTGTTTGAACAATATGAAATCTGGGCATCTTAAAAAAAGAACAGGATAACAGCGATGTTCAGGGAACAAGAGAGGTAACTTTGAACTGGCCACCGGTGAGCCAGACGGAACAGAGCTATATCCCCCCTCTTTACAAATAGGAGAAATATCGCTGAATTCTTTTTCTCAGCAAGGAACATCCCTGAGAAAGAGAATGCGCCCTGAAGGTAGGCTTATAGACAGCCCCTTTTAAGGCGTCCCGTTGAAGCCGACAGGATGAAATAAGCCCCGGTCTCCTATAGTGCTCCCAGGCTTCTTAGGACGGGATTCCCACCTAATAAATTTTAGTTAGACAGGTTGTCTGTTCTTAAACACTGTTTCCTGATAAGATGTTATCAATGACAATGCGCCCAAAACTTCATTAGCAATTTTAATTTCTCCTCCACCGGTGGTCCTGTGATCTCGCCCTGCCTCCATTTGCTTTGTGATATTTTATTACCTTGTGAAGCCTGTGATCTCTGTGACCCACACCCTATTCGTGCCCTCCCTCCCCTTTTGAAAATCGCTAATAAAAACTTGCTGGTTTTACGGCTCAGGGAACATCACGGATCCTGCCGACATGTGATGTCTCCCCGGAAACCCAGCTTTAAATTTCTCTCTCGTGCTCTTTCCCTTTATTTCTCAACCCAGCCGGACACTTAGGAAATAGAAAAAAACCCATGTTAAACATCGGGAGCGGGTTCTCCCGATAACCGGCACTGACACTTCTCAGTCAAGCCCTAGGCACTGTGTCTTTACAGAATGAAGGATCCTCAGCAGTGGAGGCCAGAGAAGGCCCGGTTACCGCAGGCGTGGAGCCCAGTCCCACGGGGAGGGCTGTGATTACCATGCCAACAGCAGGGCCAGCGTCTCAAAATCAATCCACTCCACCACATGGGTCAGGCTGGGTCTCTGCAATCAAAGCACAAATTTGCCAATTAATCCGTGCGCCGCCATCCGGTGATGAGCCTAACGACGCGCTGCCCCCTGCTGCAGACCCACTCAGTGGGTGGACCAGGGTTGGAAATCTCACCATCCACTTGCCTTTGAAGTTAGATTATATCGTTGCTGAAAAAACAGTGTTGACCCAGGACATCTATAATGTCAAACCTATGCATTTAGTGATACATTTTTTCTAGCCCCTGCCTCTGGCAGCTCCCACATGCAGGACTGGCCCTGGTTGCATTCCCAGTGGCGTCTGTATGTGCTCTCTGCAGCGCCGTGCCTGAGGCCAGATGACGGGAACTGGCATGGCACCTGTCCCACTCTAAGCTGGGTTCCAGCACTGCCTCTCAGACAACTCTGGGCCTCAATCCCCAGTGGCCACTGGTCTCTGTTGTTTCCCTACATTTGTTCCCCATGTCGCTGCAGAGAGGCCCTGCTCAGATCCAACAGGACACTCTCATCCCCAAACACACCTCTCCAGGGGCTCCTGATCTCTGCAGGACAGGCCCTGACCCCAATGACTCCCACCTTTCTGCACCAGCTAGGATGGTCCCCTCTAGTTCCAACACCAGATCCAGCCCCACCACAGCCAGCTCCTCAGCCCTAGGCAGACATGCCCATGAGCAGCCTTTCCTCAGGCACGGTGAGGAATCACACCACTGGGATGTGAGTGTGTGACACAACCTATGAAAAATACTCTTCATGCTGTAGCTCGTTAGTTCATACCTCTAGCCTGGTTCCTGAGCAAAAACATGGACGTGGCATGTAAGATAGTGAAAAAAAACAGCGAAAGCCTGAATCCCGGAACGTCTTTGAGCTGACGTTCCACTGAGTGGTGAGCCAGGGACTGGGACTGTGACAACTTACGTCGCCAATCACAGCCAGCGCTGCCAGCGCCGCCAGGGAACCCAGCATGGCCGCCAGCGTTCTGTGCACGATCTGGAAAGAAGCACAGGAAATTACTGCGTTCCAGCCGCGAGGGAGTTAGCACACACGAAGGCCTGCGTGGACGTGAGGGGCCTGTATCTGCCACTGTGTACACATCTATTCAAATGACGAGTCACGGGTCTGGATGCGTCAGGCCTGGACACCCACAGACACACACAGCTACCACCAACCTGCCTTCTTAGGGAAGCTGCTTGCATTTGCTAAATCATTAGATGACCCTAATAAAGCAGGGGAGGCCGGATAGAGCATGTTCTCTAAGAAAGGCCATAGCAAACTGTCATTAATTATTTGCCACATGATCCCTTGGCAACTAGCCCATTCGTTTGGCAACATAAATCAATTCCTCCCAGTTACTAGGCTGCTATTAAACCAAAGGTACACATTCCAACACTTCATCAAATTGAGACTTCTGTGTTATCACAAAAGCATCTTTTTATTGATTATAATTCAAATCGAAGTGGAATTTCTAAGACAAAATATGGGAAAGGCCGAGATGTGGAGAACTGGAGCCCCATACATTGCTAGTGGGAATGTAAAATGGGCTAGTCACTGTGGAAAGCAGTTTGGCAGTTTCTTATGAGTTAAACATAAATTTACCATATGACCCAGCATTCTACTAGGAATCCAGTCAACAGAAATGAAAACACATGTCCACACAAAGCACTGATGCTCATAACAACATTATACAAAGGAGGCGAAAACTGGAAACATTCCAAATGTCCATCTGTGGTGAAGGGATAGGGAAAATGCGGCACAGCTCGTACATGGATGAATGCTTAGAAGTGATGCTGGGGAAAGAAGCCAGACGCAAAAGATGGGGTCGGTCCATCTATATGAACATTCCAGAAAAAGTAAATTTAGAGAAACAGAAAGATCAGGGCTACCCAAGGCTGGGGAAAGCAACAAAGGTTGACTAGAAACAGGTCCCAGGGATCCTTATGGGGTGATGAAATGTTCTAGAACTTGTCATGGTTGCAGAATTCTAAATCTGGTAAAAATAATTTCATCGTACATTTCCAAAGGGTGAAACTATGGTATTTAAATTATACATCAATAAATTTCTTTTAAAAAAATACAAAAGAATGTAACAAGAACAAGCAGAAAATTAAACGCTAGCATGCATTACTCATTTCTTAATCCCCTAAAGGGACTTTCACTCCATTTTTTCATGGCTTCCATCTCACAGAACCTGACTCCCTTTACCAGTCATTACCTGAAACTCAAATTCTGACTAAAATTATTTCATTTATAATGTGTACTACTAGATTCAAAGTCCTTTTTTCAAGAAATGTGATACTAGGTGTTGGCTTTTCACAGTTTCAGTTTTTAAGAGTTGTTTTGTTTTAAATGTAAATACCTAAAATCCAGTAAGTTGCTACCAAACTCTAATAATTCCTTCTGTTCGTTCTCTGCTTTTCAGTCTCAGTTTAGGACCCTTTTTTCCGAGACGGAGTCTCACTCTGCTGCCAAGGCTGGAGTGCAGTGGCACAGTGTCAGCTCGCTGCAACCTCTGTCTCCTGGGTTCACGCAATTCTCCTGCCTCAGCCTCCCAAGAAGCTGGGATTACAGGTGCCCGCCACCACACCCGGCTAGTTTTTATATTTTTAGTAGAGACCATGTTGGCCAGGCTGGTCTCCAACTCCTGACCTCAGGTGACCCACCCGCCTCAGCCTCCCACAGGGCTGGGATTACAGGCATGAGCCATTGCGCACGGCCAGTTTTGGACCCATTTTAAGGATACTTCCTTATCCGATGCCGAGGGTGGCCCCAGGAAGCAGGCAGGGCAGGCATTCATCCCCGACTTGACAGCCATGGCACCAAGAGTGGAGGTTCACCGGCTGGACATGGTGAGCAGGCGCCAGAGCCAGGCTGCCCTCTCTGCCCCACACAGCGCAAGGCAAAGACACTTCCCACTTCGGTATGTCTCTTTTTTGGCACTTAATTAAGTCTTCATGAGAAGAACAGGATGTGACAGCCCCTGGATGACAGGAGGAAGTCACTGCAGGGACGAGCAGAGAGGGATGCCGTCCGCTCCAAGCCAGCCCTGTGACCTCAGCTGTGACACGTTCCTTTCTTCTGGCTTAACCTTTGGGCTAACTTTGTCTGCGGGGAAAAGAGACTTCCAGTAAAGAACAAAAAGCCAGCCTGGAACGGTAGCTTATACCTGTAATCCCAGCACTTTGGGAGGCCAAGGCAGGTGGATCACTTGAGGCCAGGTGTTCAAGACCAGCCTGGCCAACATCACAAGACCGCATCTCTACTAAAAGTTAAAAAAAAAAAAAAAAATAGCCAGGCATGGTGGCGCACACCTATAGTCCCAGTGACTCGGGAGGCTGAGGTGGGAGAATTGCTTGAGCCTGGGAGGCAGAGGCTGCAGGGAGCCAAGATCGCACCACTGCACTCCAGCCTCGGCAACAGAGCAAGACACCGTCTCAAACAAAAGCCAAACAAGAGTGAAGAGCCATGACTGCTGGCCACTGGTCAGCAGCATTGGATAGCAGCAAAAATAACTAATTGTTATTGAGCACCCACTGCTGTGCACCTGGCCCTGGATTAAGTGCTCTGCACACACCATCTGCACCTTTCACGGCGACTGCATGAGGTAGAACGATGATAACCCATGGTGCAGAGGAGGAAACAGTCTCAGCAACACCGAGTAATTGTCCCTGTGTCAGAAAACAAAGGACACGCACACCCAGGATGCAGAGCAGCATTTTCTTACTCCAGAGCACCTCCTCTCTCCTCGTGGGGCCTTGTTTGCTCGTCTGTAAAATCAGAAAACTGCACTCCATACCTCCAGGAGCCCTCAGCTCTGGAGGAGGCCCGTGGACATCATGAAATCGAGTCCTAGCACCTAACACACAAATGAGTAAATGACAAGGCAGACAGCTACGGCCCTCTCAGGACAGCCAGGCTCATCGTGGTCTCACTGGCACCCCAGCACCCGCGCTAAGTTCGCTCCGCCCGCTGCCACCATCAACACCTTTCTCCCCTCCCTCGTCACACACACCAGCTTGCAAGTGATCCACACGAGCATCTCTGTAGCCCACAGTGAGTGCTTAGGACATGCGGATGCAGCTGTCCCTGCTCGGAAATCCACCCTCTTCCACCAGCTCAGGGGCCCCACACACCATGTGGGAGGAGAAACCGTCACTTGCCATTTAAAAAATGGAAAAGCTGATGATTAGCCTCTAGGACGTGGAATAAAACTTTTTCAACTACATGGCTCTAGAAGAAGATAAGTTCATTACTTCAGATATAATGATGGACATTCCGAAATTTCTATGCTTAAGAAACAGAATTTTCAGCTATTAGAAATTTTAAAAATTCTGATAAATGGGCCTAAAGAGTAAAAATAATAAAAAGTCTTAAAAGATGCCTTAAAACAGGGGTTCCCAAGCCCCCTAACCCCGCCACGGACTAGCACCAGGGCCGCACAGTGGGAGGTGAGCTGGGCAAGTCAGCATGACCACCTGGGCTCTGCCTCCCGTCAGGTCAGCGGCAGCATCAGATTCTCATAGGAGCGTGACCCTTACTCTGAACTGCACATGCGAGGGATCTATGCTGCACACTCCCTATGAGAATCTAACTAATGCCCGATGATCTGAGGTGGGACAGTTTCATCCCAAAATGATGTCCCACCCCACGGTCCATGGAAAAATTGTCTTCCATGAAACTGGTCCCTGATGCCAAAAAGGCTAGGGACCACTGACTTAAAGGACTGTATAAAGGTTCTCTTCCTGCCCATGCTCCGGGAAATACAACACACCTCTTCCTACACCCAAACCGCTTCCCAGGCACAGAACGCACCACCTAGCTTCCCAGGCACCGCCTCACAGACCAGCCACCATTCCACCACCACACTCCTCTCCAGTCGAGCACACGCTCTGTGCCTCCAATTTATTTGGCAGGAGTCCGGCTGTGAGCTCCTGTGAGCGTGGTGTGCCTCTCTTGGTTTCTTCGGTGCTCTGCAGGGCAAGCAATACCTGCTGAGCGAAGGAGGAGCAGAAAACGCATGAACAGGGCCTGCAAAACAGCAGGCCAGCATCGCTTCTTGGGAGAAGAAAGGAAAGATTTTGGGGGTAGCCCCCAAGGAAATTATCTAGGGGATGTCTGATCTTCATGCATCGGCCCTCCATGGTCACACAGGTTTACAGCTAGCCATCATGTAAATTCCAGATGGGTGGGATACTGAGCAGACAGAAAGACAAAACTTCCTTTGGTTACCATTTGCATGGAAATGGTAACAGAGACAGCAGGGATAGCTACAGTTATATCAGACAAAACAGACTTTACGTCAAAAACTGTCTCTAGAGGCAAAGATTACCCTCCCTCTTCCACTGATAAAAGGGTCAATTCAACAGGGATCTATCACAGTTATAAGTAAGTACACACCCAAAACCAGAGCACCTAACTATACTAGCAGTATTAACAGAGCGAAAGGGACAAACTGACAGCAATGCAACATAATAGGGGACTTCAATGTCCCATTTAAGATAATGGATAGAACATCCAGACAGGAAACAGCAGACCTGAACAGCACTGTATGCCAAGTGGACCTAACAGAGATAGACCGAACTTTCCACCCAAAAGCGAAAAACAGACATTCTTCTCTAGCATACACAAAAAATTCTTCAGGATATATCACATATTAGGTCACAAACAAGTCTTAACAAATTTTATTTCTTTTAAAAAAAAATTTTGTCTTAGAGACAGTCTCCCTCTGTCACCCAGGCTGGAGTGCAGTGGTCCAGTCAAAGCTCCCTGCAGCCTTGAACTCCTGGACTTAAGCAATCCCCCTGCCCCAGCCTCCTGGATAACTAGGACTACAAGTGTGCACCACCACATCCAGCTAATTTTTTTTTTTTTTTTTTTTTTTTTTTTTTTTTTTTTTGCAGAGATGGAAGTCTTGCTATGTTGCCCAAGCTGGTCTTGAACTTCTGGTCTCAAGTGATCCTCCTGCCTCAACCTCCTAAAGCACTAAGATTATA